AAAAAATGAGTAGAGGCGCGTGACTCACTGGCACGATTTTACTTGGGCTAAATTTACTGCAGTCTGCTTTTTATATGTTTTAACGTTTATTGAATCTGCTTGGAGAAATATTTTTAAAGGGGCGATAAAGAAGACACTTAATGTTGAAATTCCTTCGCAAACTGCCGGGCATTTAGACTGAGGAGAAACCGTGTTCGTGAGACAACCAGGCAGTTCATGACACAGATTTGTCTTGTATTTAAATACGAAGTCCTCATTACAATTAAATGGTCCCCGGAGTACATCTTGTCCTATTCACGGATAGAATGTTCTGATCTAAATCACACACGGGGTAAAAATTCAACCCGACACTATAGCCTCCGCTGTTGAATTTTCTGGCAGTTTACCAGAAAAAAAAATCAAGCCGTCAAGCTTTTCAAAATCCAGTGTATGGATATCATTTTATTACTCTATATACCATAAAAATACAGTGCTTTAGTCATTGCCCAGTTTCCAAGGGGTATTCCATAAAATAATAATAATAATCTTTATTGAGATTACTTTTTCATATAAAATATGGTTTCCCAAAAGGATCTCATAAATTAAAAAAATAAATGTCAGAAGGTCTACCAGAGAGGCTGCGAGAATTTTATATTAATTTCTTTTTTTTTTGTTTTTGTTTTTTCTTTTGACAGGACATTATGTCACAGAAACTGTCACATACTCTCTTTATGTCGTTATGTCAAAAATATCCATGTATTTTTAGTTGGCTCTGGTTATTACAATGATTGACATTTTCTTTTGTTCTCTTATTGATTGATTGACAGAACCTTATGTCACACAAAGTGTGAAATATGTCACATACTCTCTTTTTCAAAAATATCCCTTGGGGGTGGTAGTGGAGAGACTTGTGTGACCTGAAACAGATTGCGTGATTTTTTTGTGTGGGGGAGAGGGTAAGTTTCATGTCCCTTCGCGTGTCTCGCGGGGACCTCAGAGCGCTTAGCGGGGCTTTGACTGAGATTTCGGCGGGTGTCTCAAAGATCGGATCACTTTCGCGGGTGCCTCGAAGATGTATTTGCGGGCACATGTGGACATTAAACTCCCTTAAGAATTCAATTCAAGGAAAAGTCGCCTGCATTTGACATATTGAGCGGGTTCAAAACCACCCATAATACCTTTCGGGATTGTCGCGTGCACTTTTTCCGCAACCTTTCTCGAAATAGCTGTGAACTTGGAAAATTAATGTTTCATATCCTGTCAGACTCGTTTTGTTCATTGTTGCTTTTTTTTTTCTTAAAAACGTAAGAATATTTTTCTACTTTCCTTTTTCTTATTAGCAACTGAACAGATATGATCAGGTGTGTATCAAACTTAATCCAGTCAGGAGACATTCTGAGTAAACGCGCGCACCGTAATTTCGACAAAATGTGTGGAATGTAACCTCGAAATTTTTACCGTGGCGATCCTGTATGCATGTACAGTGAAAATACACTTTGTTGTGGCTTGAAGGTGATACATTTACCAGGCATTCCAAAGCTTTACTTACAACCAGCAAGTAGACACAAGGTGTTTAATCTATCCCTTCAGTCAGTTAATTTAAGTTCTAAGAAGTCTTTGCAAACGATCAAACAAAACAAAAAATAGTTTTACTTTTTATTTTAACATCATTGCAAAATGCTTACATCATTAGTCACTGATATTTTTGTCCAACCTCGTTTTCGTAAGCTAGCTTTGTTCCCAGGATCTTTCTTTCGTCATTTACGTCACTCTTGAGTCGTACACAGAAGACAAAAAGAAGGACCCTGGGAACAAGGTTTTTCGTCAACTGCGTCATTAATGACGTAGCATGACGTAGTTAGCGAGTAAAAAACCCTAGGTGCGAGGTTGAATTTTGTCTTGATGTAGAACTTGTGTGGACTCTAGTCAAAATAGTTGATGGGATCGTCCTTGGTCATTCCTGTCTTGATAGCAGATAATGTAAGAGTTGATCCATCACCTTGCAGAGACTGGAAAACGCGCAAATGAACGTAGGAAGGACCGCCAACATGAACCTGTAGGTAGAATATTTTAACAGTTTAAAGGACCCACCCTCGAGTAAGGTATACAGTGGAACCCCGATTTATCGGAAAACATTGGGAAAATCAAACTGGTTCGAATGTTGGGGAGGTTTGAAAAATCGGAGGTAAAATTACGCTGTGTGGCTGATAAAGAAAGTTAGGTTTAGTTCGAATTATCGGGGATTTCGAAAAACCCAGTGTTCCAGAAATCGAGATTGCACTGTAGATCCCATATGTAATGTGTGAGTCAATTATGAACTTTCAGCATTGAAAATGTTAAAATGTCGATACACAGAAGAAATCGATTTGATAGCGAAACCCAGGGGACACTAATCCGAATCTAATAAATGTTATTTCTTTTTATTGATTGTGGAATTTTGATCCAATATAACTCTTCAGTTTCAGTTTAAGTTTAATGATCACACGCATTGGTTCTAACAGACAATTATATAAAAGAGCATGAAAGCGAGGATGATGGCTAATACACCGGTTCCTGGCAGACCGTTTGAGTGGAAAGCCGTGTTATGAGAATATTATGAGTGATTACGGAAACAGACAACGCTTGAGTTAACTCAGGAATCATTACATACTTGAATAATAATTGGCAAACGCAATGCTTTACATTTCCCCTACCCCACTCCCCACTCTTTCGTTGATGTCATAATGACTATGGGGGCGTACATAGTTACTTGGAATGTTCTTGGCTAACCTTAATGAAGTAATTTTTTCCAGCTACAACTTGAGTCTTATATGATATGGCTTTAAATTCTTGAAAGACTTGCCCTGCCATTTCCTCTGCTTGGGGCTTCACCTGTTGGAGAGACAAGTTGAAGTTATTTTTCACCCCCCTTTAGTAAAGAGGTTCGAAATAATAAATACCGTAAAACCCCGGTTACATACGCCCTAACTATACCTTCCCCACCTCTGCTCTGATGGTACCATCTACCTATTTAAAGTGGAACCTCGATATAACGTCGATCGGTATAACGACAGTTGTTCTTTACCCCAGTAATAGCAAACCATATGAATTAAAAGAACCTCGATATAATGAAACTTCGTCTTGCCCGTCCTAATAGGCCGTTCGTTATATCGAGGTTCTACTGTGCAACAATAATATTCCGGCTAAAAGCCTTCCACTCATTTTTTTTCCCTTGTTTTCTTCGTTTTTAATCACAAAAGTCGTGCGAGTAGGGTTTGGAGCAATAATTGTTATCATGATTACAACCAAATGAACTTCTATCGCATCAAATATACTGGCAATATATATTTAAGCTGCATGTTCATCGTTTGTTTACAAAGCCGGAAATGTAATGTTTCTGTCTTCCCTCCGAGTCTCACCTTTCTCGCGGGTGGCAATTTGACGCGTGCTCTCATATTTTGCTCAAACCAACCGCTGAAGAAAACGACATGGAGAAACAAGGAACATATATAACGGATATTTCTAGGTTAAATAACTTTCTATATCTTTTTTTCGCATTAGAAATCAGTCCTTATATATGCTTTGAAAGGTCGCGTATTGACTTGAAGCTCGATCGTTACGCACGCTTTCCAGCCGTGGGTTACGCGGATTGTCAGCTATCGCCAAACAAGGCATTTCGAACTTAAGCGGAGAAAGAAATAATATATCATGAGGGAACTGCCTCATATGCTAGCTTAAACTGATACCTGATCGCAAATCTTTTGCACTTCTGCATCGGCCGGTTTCAGCGGACTCAGTCCACCTGGTACAATATCTTTAGCGTCCTGTGACATGTTCTCAAGAAATTTCTTTACCCAGATTCCGTCAGATAATTTCCCAACAAAGACTGATCTGATAGAAAAGCGAGATAACTCAAGATTTATATTTTGTTTATTACACAACTGATTGGTGGCGTGATGTATGACGTAAATGCAAATGATTTGTCTCATGCAATGCGGAAGAAAGTTTTGTTTTTGATCACCAGGTCACGCTCAAGTACTACCGATAAGAATCTTTAAGTTAAAATAAACATTCAAAGCCAGCACTTCCTTTGGAGCCTTAAGTGATATAATCTGGTGAACTTTTATAAAGGTATCTTAAGTTGATGCTTGCAAAAGAAAGTAGACGTTTAGGAAAATAAAACAACATGAGGAATTATTAATGCTTTTTTTACCTACTCATTAGCACGTACGGATCGATTCGGATCGACAGGTTCGTTGAACCCTATCTCCCTCTGTATGAAAGGAAATTGACTGATTAACGTCACAACCGAAAGCTCATTTGAAAATGAAATAATATTAAACAAGATAATTAAATTAAACGGTGCAGCAAACAAACAGATAAATTTTTACAACTTGTACTCCTACATCCCATAAACTTAACATGCTACAGGCTACTTGGCAACCGACTCAGTCTATACTGCCTATCGTAGGCATAATTACACATTATCGAAACAGATGATACGTTCTCAAACCGCTTTTCACTAGCGCTTATGCATCAGTCAATAGCGCTGCGTGCAGTTACTATTTATAGACCCGAAACTCAGACAAACAAACTGAAATTAATATTTAGCGAATTCCTCACTTTTGTCTAACTTTTGTCATTAAAATGAGAAAAATGGCAAAACTCAGACAAAAATTGCAAATCAGTCACTCTGACGTCATTCGGGCGCTACGCTATTGAAACTCAACCCCCCACGACCCCCGGGACTTAGTGGGGAATTTAGCATTGGCCTGGTGTTAAAACCCCGCTATTTTTCCCACTCCCCGGGCCAAGACGTTTGTTAAAGGTCCCGTACAGCAGGGCATTAGTTGTTCTAGGCTCGAATCTCTAGGGTTCGACGTTGAACATGTTCCTCTCCGAGAAAGGGCTCCTTTCCCGAACAGCGTTTGGTTACGCTGCTCAGGTCTCCTTTCTTTAAACGTCAACCATATATTTTAAAAAAATAAAACTGTCAGCCTCTACGTTCGTTCCTAGAAACTGCACTGGCGACTCCCATGAAAATGAAAACCTTCAATGCTCTGAGATCAAGCAAGATGAAAAGGTATCAGATCTATCTGCTTCAGTTGTACCAGCAAGGACGCATGTCGAGAAAGGAAAATGTCCATCGCTTAGCGGTTTCAAGAGGAAGTTTTCATCAGTTGACCAAGATGTGGTTGAGAAACCAAATGGGCCTATAGCTAGCTGTAAGTAGGTGAAGCTTAGCAGCATATTCACGCGGGACAAACAAGCTTATAGGCTGAAAATAGAATACGAGTAGTCCCCCATGAGAAAAAATGGGGACTACTCGTAGTCTAGGCCGGAAAGCAAAGAGTCTGTGGAAACAGATGGTGAGCATGTTTATGCTGCTGCTAAGACTCAAAGATCTGAAAATATTGGTGATAGCAATGAACTGTTAGCAAAAAAAACTGACATTGAAGTTGTTGAAGTTAAGGATGATATCATTTCTGTAAGTGAATCTGATGATGACGAACTTAGTCCTCAGAAAGACGTCCAGCAAGAAAGAGCCAAGAAATAGATTCAGAGCGTTTTGATAAAACTAATCAAACACTTTTAGGCCAGGCTAAAGATAATTCAAGTAACACATCTTGCAAAACAATACTGGTTTTTCCTAAACTTGGCAACTCAGGTATCAGAGATGGTTAGAAACAGAAAGGAAACAACAGTGAGTTTCAGTATGAATAAACTTAAAAGCGTTGATACGGCGCCAACGAGACAGAAAACAGATGAAGTTGAAGCTCGTTTGTTCAGAGCAAAGATAGCGCCAGAGAGCAATTCCAGTGCTGAGAAAGAACTACCCAAAAATATTAGTAAAGATATGTTCAAGCATATGGAAATTTTGGGTCAGTTTAATCTGGGTTTTATCATCGCAAAACTGGACAATGATTTGTTCATAATCGACCAGCATGCTTCAGATGAGAAATTTAACCAGGATCAAGAGAGGAACACGACAATTAAGTCCCAACGTCTTATTGTTCCCCAGAACCACTGCCAATGAAGCTATCCTAATGGACAACATGGAAATATTTCAAAAGAACGGATTTGATTTTGAGATTGATCGCAATGTCCTTACTGAACAGCTCTCGCATTCTGTTTTCCGGAGATATTGATGGCTTATCTTGTTAATAGGGACCTTAAGCAACGACGACGACGATGACGCTAAAAAAACGAATCTGCGTTCTTTCAAAGTTAATCGCGTTTATTTGAACCCGCTCAATATGTCAAATGCAGGCGACTTTTCCTGGAATTGAATTCTTAGGGATTTTATTCAAGTTAAAAAAGAGGAGGGAAAATTCGTCGTCGTATGTCCACGTCCTCCATAAAACGTGAAATTAGGACGTTTCACGTCGTAGTCGTGCAGTGGACGTCAAAGAAATGTACTAAAAAGAGTGATGCACGTGAAGAGCTGTTGTTTTAGTTTACTAGGAAGGAATAGTCATACTGCCGGAGTTGGTGAATGTTGCTATACAGCTATTTCGAGAAATGTTGTCGGAAAAAATCTGCACGCGACAATCCCGAATGTTAATATGGATTATGATCAATACACTGTTCCTGACACTGAAGCTGTCGAACCTACTTTTGTTGCTTTCTATTACCATTCGCAAACATACGTCCATGGCCTCTCGTGTCATTCTTTCAAACTCCTTTGAAAAATAGTGAATTCAAAACCACCCACAATACCTTTCGGGATTGCCGCGTGCACTTTTTCCGACAACCTTTCTCGAAATACTGTAGCTGCAAACTTGGAAAATTATTGTTTCATATCCTGTCATAGTCGTTTCGTTGATTGTTTCATTTTTTTTTTTCTTAAAAACGTAAGAGACTTTTTCTGCTTTCCTTTTTCTTATTAACAACTGAACAGATATGATCAGTTGTATATCAAACTTAATCCAGTCAGGAGACATTCTGAGTAAACACGTGCACCGTAATTTCGACAAAATGTGTGGAATGTAACCTCGAAATTTTTACCCTGCCGATCATGTATGCATGTACAGTGAAAATACACTTTGCTGTGGCTTGAACGTGATACATTTTCCAGGCATTACAAAGCTTTACTTACAACCATCAAGTAGACACAAGGTGTTTCTATCCCTTCAGTCAGTTAAGTTCTAAGAAGTCTTTGCAAACGATCAAACAAAACAAAAAATAGTTTCTTACTTTTTATTTTAACATTATTGCAAAATGCTTACATCACTAGTCACTGATATTTTTGTCCAACCTCGTTTTCGTAAGCTAGCTTTGTTCCCAGGATCTTTCTTTCGTTATTTACGTCACTCTTGAGTCGTACACAGAAGACAAAAAGAAGGACCCTGGGAACAAGGTTTTTCGTCAACTGCGTCATTAATGACGTAGCATGACGTAGTTAGCGAGTAAAAAACCCTAGGTGCGAGGTTGAATTTTTTCTTGATGTAGAACTTGTGTGGACTCTAGTCAAAATAGTTGATGGGATCGTCCTTGGTCATTCCTGTCTTGATAGCAGATAATGCAAGAGTTGATCCATCACCTGGCAGAGACTGGAAAACACGCAAATGAACGTAGGAAGGACCGCCAACATGAACCTGCAGGTAAAACATTTTAACAGTTTAAAGGAGTAAGGTATACAGTGGAACCCCGATTTATCGGAAAAACATTGGGAAAATCAAATTGGTTCGAATGTTGGGGAGGTTTGAAAAATCGGAGGTAAAATTACACTGAGTGGCTGGCAAAGAAAGTTAGGTTTAGTTAGAATTATCGGGCATTTCGAAACGCCCAGTGTTCCAGAAATCGAGATTGCACTGTAGATCCCATATGTAATGTGTGAGTCAATTATGAACTTTCAGCATTGAAAATGTTAAAATGTCGATACACAGAAGAAATCGATTTGATAGCGAAACCCAGGGGACACTAATCTAATCTAATCTAATCTAATAAATGTTATTTCTTTTTATTGATTGTGGAATTTTGATCCAATATTACTCTTGAGTTTCAGTTTAAGTTTAATGATCATACGCATTGGTTCTAACAGGTAATTATATAAAAGAGCATGAAAGCGAGGATGATGGCTAATACACCGATTCCTGGCAGACCGTTTGAGTAGAAAGCCGTGTTATGAGAATATTATGAGTGATTATGGAAACAGACAACGCTTGAGTTAACTCAGGAATCATTACATACTTGAATAATAATTGGTAAACGCAATGCTTTACATTTCCCCTACCCCACTCCCCACTCTTTCGTTGATGTCATTATGACTATGGGTGGAACTGACTGCAGTTAGAGCCGGCGTACATAGTTACTTGGAACGTTCTTGGCTAACCTTAATGAAGTAATTTGTTCCAGCTACAACTTGAGTTTTATATGATATGGCTTTATATTCTTGAAAGACTTGCCCTGCCATTTCCTCTGCTTGGGGCTTCACCTGTTGGAGAGACAAGTTGAAGTTATTTTTCACCCTGTTAGTAAAGAGGTTCGAAATAATAAATACCTTAAAACCCCGGTTATATACGCCCTAACTATACCTTCCCCACCTCTGCTCTGATGGTACCATCTACCTATTTAAAGTGGAACCTCGATATAACGTCGATCGGTATAACGACAGTTGTTCTTTACCCCAGTAATAGCAAACCATATGAATTAAAAGAACCTCGATATAATGAAACTTCGTCTTGCCCGTCCTAATAGGCCGTTCTTTATATCGAGGTTCTACTGTGCAACAATAATATTTCAGCTAGAAGCCTTCCACTCCTTTTTTTTCCCTTGTTTTCTTCATTTTTAATCACAAAAGTCGTGCGAGTAGGATTTGGAACAATAATTGTTAGCATTATAACAACCAAATGAAGTTCTATCGCATCAAATATACTGGCAATATATATTTAAGCTGCATGTTCATCGTTTGTTTACAAAGCCGGAAATGTAATGTTTCTGTCTTCCCTCCGAGTCTCACCTTTCTCGCGGGTGGC